CTGCAGCTTTCTCACCAGAGGCAAGGGTGTGTGCCCTGACTGACTGGTTGAAGATGCACCCTAACAGTCTAGCTGTTTGGAAGCTATACATACAACAGCTTAAGGGGCAGAAAGGGTTCTGACAGTATGTTGGTTTCAGAGTCACCTTTGCAGATAGCGTTCTGGCTCTCTAAGCACACTGGAATTGGCTGGAAGGACCATTAGTGTCAAACACTATTAATGCTTTGTTGTGATCTCTACTACAACTTTCATGTACTGTATCTGTGAACCTTCCCCACTTTCCCTAATGGGGATTAATTCCTCCCATCTGTGTTGCCTGGTCAGTCTCAGCATCATATAAAGTAAGACCTACTAGCCTATAAGGCTGTAATCACTAGCAAATGGTTTAGCCAGCTTGCTCTGTCTGCCTCCCAATGCCTTGCAAGCACATAACCAAGTTTTTCTCATTACTTCCTCAAGATATTTGTCTGATTCCCTCCATGTTTTGCAATTTATACATATTAATGCATTTGTTACATCTGTATTAATGCAGTGTGTTACATCTGTGCCTGTTACCTCCACTAGAGACATTGGAGAAATAACTGATAACATTCTCTGCTTCCTAGCCCAGGTATCAGGGGAGACAAAAGTAGAAGAATCCTACTTGGGCCAGCCGTGGTGATTCATGTCTGTAATCCCATCTCTCTGGAAGGCTGAGCCAAGAGATCCACAAATTTGAGCCCAGCCTAGACAATTTAGCCACTTAGCAAAATCTGTCTTAAAATAAAAAATTAAAACTGTCAAGAAAAAAAAAAATGAAAGAAACTAAAAGATACAGAAATTTGAGAGGATCATTCTAGAGATCTTTTAAAAATTCAAGATTTTTTTTAATATTAGAAGAAAGGGCAGTTTTGTATATACAAAATATGTTCTTATTTGTAGTTGAGAAATACTATATGTAATTCCCAGAAAGTGGCAAACTAGATTGGAGTTTATAGTTATAAAGAAGAGCAGCAACTATTAGAATCTGATTTTGTTGAAGAGAAACTGAACCTAAGTAAAGTAGAAAAAAAGAATTTTTTTTTTTTTTTCCGCAATACCAGGGATCGAACTCACGACCTTGCGCTTGCTGGGCAGGCGCTGTGCCACTGAACTAAACCCCCAGCCCCAAAAAAGAATTTTGTATCAGCAAGAGAGATGAGCTTGAGGCCTGTGTTGATTTTTCTTCAGAGGTAAATCTGTACTTGATGAAAAAGGAATAGTACTGTTTGGTCATTGAACATTTACGAGGCACTGTAAAAGAATCCCCTTACTCTGAAGGACACATGTATTAAAAGGGAAATAATTTTACTGGTGTAAATTATAATTCTCAGTCAGGGATTATGATGTCCTCCTCTCTGTAGCCCGTAAGACATTCAGCAGTGTCTGGAGTCACTTTGGATTGTCACAGCTAAAGTAGTGTAACTGGCATCTGGTGGGTGGAGGCAGGTCGTGCTGCCAGGAATCCCACAATGGGCTGGGGCTGCAGCTTTGTGATAGAATACACACTTTGCATGTGCAAGGACCTTGGTTCAATCACTACCACTGCAAAAAGATAGATAGATAGATAGATAGGTAGATAGATAGATAGATATCCCAAAACTCAGTTCAGCCTTCACAACAAAGAACTATCTGACCAAAAATTGCTATTAATGCCGAGTCTGAGAAACTCTGTTGTAAGGTTCTGGGATTTTCTACAACTGCAGCCTAACTCAGCCTACCCTGACTGATACAGCAACTTGATTTTAATTTTACCTTAATTTTATAACAGCCAATGCAGAAATAGTTGAGCATACCAATTAGGTATTCTAGCAATTAGGAAGATAGACTTGGAAGAAATTGTAAATATATACACATATATCATACCAGGGGATAAGGTTTTGAAAATGTTGCTCAAAAGCTTCTAGTTCCACTATAGTAGCAGATATTTAAAATATATGAAAAGCAGAAAGAAAGGTTTAAAACCAGTGTGGTTATGCAGCAAATTCTCCAGTGAGCTCAAATACGAAAATAGAGGAGGTTTGTAATCTAAAGACAAAGGTCTTTTACACTCTTGTAGAAATGGGATTTTAAAAAACTAAGATCCAGGGGCTGGGGATTTAGCTCAGTGGCAAAGCGCCTGCCTGGCAAGCGCAAGGTCATGAGTTCAGTTCCCGGTACGGGGAAAAACCAGGAAAAAAAAAAAAAAAAAAAAACAAAAATAAAAAACTAAGATCCAAAGTTAACATAATCTAGGCCAGCAGAAAATGCTGAGATCCCAAAAGGTTTTTTGATTTGGGGGTTATGTTTGCAGCAAGACCAAACAAATGGATTTCTTATTTGATGCTTACGAACTACACAGAGATAGCACAGCAGCTCAGTAAGACTGCCCATCCGCACTGTCAGTGACCTCAGGCTTCATCTGCACCCGCTACTTCCTGTTCTCCTGTGATTGCCAATTCTTCAGCATCTTGAGGCAGTGGACCTTTTCAGCCCCAGTTTATAAGCTGCGTATGTTCTTACGGGATCAGAAGCAATAACTGCCTATGCTTGCTGCATGCAGTGACCCCTACTTTAAACCTTGGGAATGATTGTACCTGTCCCTCTTAATAGAGCTAAACAAAGTTGTAGTGCTGTTTCTAGGATACTGGTTCCCAATCTTTAAATATTTTCAATCAGAAGCCCTCTTGGTTGATTATTCTCTTCTAAACCTGATTATCTTTAATTCTAAATTCAAAACTCTGAATCTGGGCATGGTAGCACACACCTGTAATCCCAGCACTGGATTACCATGAGTTTAGGGCCAGTCTGGGCCACATAGGGAGTTTAAGGTCAGCCCGAACTCTATAGCAAGACCTTGTCTCAAAAAAAACAAGAAACAAAACGTTTAAAACTCTGAATTAAACGTAAGAGCAAACTCTTCACTGTGTGTCCCTGTACTCCTTTCATATTTACTTATGTTTCAAAGCAAGATAATGGGCCATAAAAATACCAATGTTGGCCTGGCATGGTGGTGCACATCTGTAATCCCAGCACTTGGGAGGCTGAGGCAGGAGGACTGCCATGAGTTCAAGGCTAGCCTGGGCTACATAGCGAGACCCTGTCACAAGAAAATAAGACCAAAAAAAATGTCATTGTTGCTCTGACCATAAAAACTCCATTTGGATGGATGAGAATTCCTTCATCATACTATTACAACTGTCTTGTCTACCTATCCGAAGTATTTGTTGGATTTCATTACCTGTTAACATGTCAGCGTTACCAAATCCACATTGTATATAAGCCGGACATTCAGCATAGGTACCCCAAGTTCATAGAAGAATTATGCCAAGCACTGGTGGCATGACAGTGATCTTCTTGTACAATCACCTTTTAGTCTTCACTGTTTTATTGAGAGGTAAGAGGCTTAGTAGAGGAATAAACCACTAGCGAAGTTCCATTCTCACTTTAATGCAGGCTAGCGGTAAGAATCTTACTTGATGTTTTCTCTGTGATATTCTTAGTTAATGAGGTGGGATATTAGCACTTAGAGCATATTAAATTATTTTTTGTCAGTACCAATTATTTGTAAAGTACATTTCAGTGAGAAATTCTGAAATCAGTACTAGGGTGATGGATTAATGGCAAGGGGAGACAAAATTTAAGATTTACAATATAACGTGACAGTTACAGATTGAAATGTATTTTATAGATTCCTAGTTTTTTATTTGTTGCATTGAATTAGTTTTATATTGTCAGAGTATTGGGCTTAAAAAAAAAAAAAAAAAAAAAAGGCCCCCAAAGAATTGAGAAGTCACAGAGTAATACAGAGAGCAAATCAACATTCTTTTTTTTTTTAGAGAGGGCCTTGCTATGCAGTTCAGGCTAACCTTGAGTTCATTTTGTAGCCCAGGCTGGTCTCAAATTCACAACGACCCTCCTGCCTCAGCCTCCCGAGTGCTGGGATTACAGGCATGGGCCACTACGCCTGGCTAAATCAACATTCTTAAAGAATTAAATATTACTAAAATATCAAGCTGCCATTTTACTCTATTAAAAAGCTTTTTATGTTTTCTGACAAAAGTGTGTTACATCTTCATTATAGAAAAATAAGAAGATACAAATAAAAGAAAAACTTGTAAATTCACACTCTGGTCACAGTGGCTACACAATTAACACCACATTATGTTTACACCTTCTCATGTCCGTGCCTAAAACTTATCTAGTAGCCCCTTGTTGATGCACACTTGAAGTTTTTTTTTCTTGTAACACTGTGGTAAACATCCTGTGTGAATCTTTTTTTGTGTGTCTGATTGTTTTGTTAGGACCAGTTCCTAGAACTGCTTTTGCTGACTGAAAGGATGTTGCGCGTAAGCTGTTGATTGTCTGTTGCCCAACTGCTGACCAACACAGGCTATAGCGAGTCTTATCATTCTCTTACGCACATAGTTTACGTTGTCTCTTTTTATCTTTACCAAGGTCTAAAACACCAAGATGCTGTTTCATTGTTTTAATTTGTACTTACTTGATTAATAATCAGAATTTGCTGTATGACATAATAAAAGACTACAAATTAATGAAATCTCTTTATTGTAGGAGTTGAGAGTATAACTCAGTGGCAGAGCATGTGCTTAACATGCACAAGGCCTAAGTTCAACCTCAACACCAAAATAAATGTATACATACATACATACATCTGTCTATCTCATTGCCATGTCATTTAGGAGGGAAGAAAAACGTACACACACATGACTGTTCAACAGAAAGAACAGTTATGACGCTTCAAAACAGCCAGCTGTTAAAATAGTCCACATATGAAGTATTTTTACTGACGTAGGAAAAGTATTAGATATTTGATATTGACACAGAGTACATGAGCAAATCAAGTGAGAAAGATCCTGGTAAGCAGTGAAAAGCCAATTGTAAAATCATTTTTTAAAACATACGCTTACTTGAGAAACTACTGTTGGAATCACTTGAAAATATAATGCTATTTATGTTACTTTTTTTTATTTCCTTTCTAGGTTGCTGCTGTTGATCTTCTGGTACCTGTAGTTGGGGAGCTTTTCGGTGGCAGCCTCAGGGAGGAACGGTACCATCTCTTAGAGCAGCGACTGGCCAGGTACTGGTCAAACCTACAAAAAAACATACCTCACAAACCAGGGTGAAGCACACAGAGTAGTTCTAGCAAAGTATCAGAAAAGCACTTGAGTCCCACACCAGACACATGGGATCTCGGATTCCACATGACCGTGAGCAAGGTGTTTCTAACCTCTCTGAGCGCCCCCACCTTTTTTAGTAATGTTTGCAGTACACAACACATCTTAATTATTTTTACGTTCCTTTCCCCTTAAATATTACATGGTTTTGTCACTGGGTTGGATCTGTGGTCCCTAATGCAGAAATACAGAACTTCACCCACTTTTTAAAAATAAATTTGCAGGTTCACTGACTCCTCTTGTGGAAAAAGAATTTCCAGGATGCCTCAGTGAAAGAGACGTGAGAAGATTTAGGACAGACAGAGATACAGGACACATTCAAAGAATAAAGTTCAGGTGCTCAGAGAAATGAGACACTGAACTTCCCTTTCTGAAAGACTGGAACTGTGACAAGAAACAAGCCCACAACAGAATTTGCCTTCTATCTATAAATGCCTCTCCCTTCAGAAAGTAGTTTTTCAAACCTTCATAAAAGGAAGAGGTAGATTTCTCCCTCAAAGCTTGTCTACATTTTCCTCCTACCTGTGCTCTTTTTTTATGGATTCTTACTCATGAATGGCAGACTCCCACTGGGACATAAAGACAGACTTAAGCAGGAAAAGGATAAAGACAGAAAAAGAAAACTACTAAAAATATCTGCGAAACTAATGTTTAAAATAAGCAGATTTCCCTCCTCAGGTTCTCTACTATGTACAGGTCTTGGTTTAGCTCTTTGAATAACTTTAACTTTCCATTTGAGACCTTGGAAATGAATCCATAAACACATAAAAAATGTTTTGGAGAAGGGAAGTAGGGAATCATGTTTCTAATTGAACTACCACTCCTGTGTATCCATGGTTTGCCAACAAACCACAATGACTTCCTAAACTAACCGAGGTTATAAACCTCTGTTTTCCATGATTTCCACTTTTCCTTGCCAGACTTAAAAAAAAAAAAAAAAAAAGTTCCCACATCTGTATGCTTAATCCTTCTCTCCAGATAGTACTAGGTTTCATCATAACTGGAAAAGCCATAATTTCTTGAAAATACGCTGTTATACTAGCCACTTGTAAGGCCTTCTTTTCCAAATGGACAGATGCTTTAGAAGTTACGCGTTTCCAAGATCCCAACCTGTAAATCTGTTGGGTAACTTAGTTTTATAATCACAGCCTTTTGAGCTGCTCTGTTGCCTTGGACTCCATAAGAAAGGGGGTGGGTAGGTTCTGAGAAGACGACCTTATCGCTTCTTCACCACCTCTGTACAACTACCATAGTGTTTGGAAGTCATGGGAAAGGTGTGGAATTGAAGTAAAGGTCAGACTCTTTAGTTGGAAAGAATTTGATCATCCTCTGGAGTTTTTTTTAAAGTACAATAAAAATTACACGTGGCAAGAAACCTCATCTGTTGAAAGATTAATTGGCCTGTTTTCTTTGCTTGCTTCCTTCCTTCAGGAAACCTTTCCTCATAACATCAAAATTTTACCTAATATCCGACTTTATCTTTCCTAATGAAGTAGAGAAGTATTTTCCTATCTCAGGGGTCTGTCTGTGGCTACTGGTCATGTTCTCTCTAATTTTATATATTTAAATTTTTCAGTGTCCCTATCATTTCAGATACAGTTTGGTTCCCAAACACTAAAGGACTGAGATAAATTTTAATGAGCACTGAGAGCCTAAAATTTGTCACATTTCTTAAATGAGACAAGAACCAAGTTGCAACAGTATAAGGAAGGCACCCTCAGAATTTGTATTATTCTTTCAGTGTTGCAGAATGAAAGTTGTATCCATTTGTCCTACTCTCTGTGGGCCTCCCCACCACCTTAACTAGTAATAATAGTGCTTTTTTTCTGTAACTGGACAATAAGTTCATCTCAGATGAATCACATCTTTAGGGTTCTGTCTTCATGTTAAAGCATTTATTGTCTTTACCATTTATTTCACGTAGGTTGGGTGATTAAGTTTACTGTAAAATTGCAGCTTCTTGACTCTACTGCCTGTTACTGGAGAGCACAGGATATATCGTGCACTTCTTTATACAGAGCTCTTTGCACACAATCCACAATAAATATTTCGTGGTTCATATCTTATTGCCATTGCTTGAAACAATTCTGTTATTTTCTTTTTACAGATCAGGACTTACAGAAGCCTACCAATGGTAAGAATGTGGCCCTTAGTGATATTTATTCTAGCACCTGTCTTAATGTTACATAGATTTTTTTATTCTTATTCTGAAGACCCTGTGGAAGAGTGTTAAGGACTAAACAGGAGTCTCCAAAGAATGCTTGCTCTCTTTAAGTCCTTGTAAAATACTAAAAATAATGATTACCATTTAATTATCACTTATTGTGAGTCAGATAACTATGTTAACATTTGTGTGTATACTATCTCATGTAATCTTTGCCATACTCTGAGTGACAAGTACTTTTATTACCCCTCTAAGCCTAAGGTTCAGATAGGTGAGTAATCAAGATCTCACAGAAGTAGGCAGCTGAAAATTGATCACTGAATCAAAAACTTCTGGCCCCAACCATTATACTTCAGTTTCTCTATGTGTGAAATTAGAAATTTGAATTTAGGGCTGGGGATATAGCTTAGTGGCACAAGGGCCTGCCTGGCAAACGCAAGGTCCTGAGTTTGATTCCCAGTACCAAAAAAAAGGAAATGAAACTTGAATTTTCTAAGAATTATACAAATCTGAGCTACTTAGATGTATGTGCTCATACATTCACTTCCCTAAGGTGGTTCTAGTCTTCTTTCTGCAGAGCCTTTCTTCAGGTCTTTCCCAATAGAGAAAAATGATTTATTTATACTTCTGTAATCACATTCCTTTCAAATCTTGGTATAGCAATATCAACAATATCAGTAATCTGTTGCCATCCTCAGGAGGAGGAATAGACAAATGACACATTTGACTTGGTAATGAAAGGGTTAGATTTCAGAGGTGCTAAACTCAAGTTCAGGTAATGGCCTTTAATGCCTTACAGCTACCAGTAATGACCTTAGGCACACTTCATCTCTCTTAGAACCTTGATTTCCATGGTGGTAAAAGGAATGATAATCCCTGATTGACAGGGTTGTGAGAATGGAAAGAAATAATCTAGGTGGGAGATGCACACTGTGTGGACGCTCAGTAAGTGCTAGTTTCCTGCCTCCTGTCCCCCTTTGTTCTGAGTCTTGCTCCTGAGCAGAAAAGCCTGACTGAGCAAACATACGCACTTTTTCTTTGGATTCCTTCTGCCTGTGAGATAATACTCATAATGTGTAAAAACTAGTTTAACTTAATAAAAGGTGTATTGGTGGTTAATAGTAAGGGCTTTTCTGGTTTTTATTAGTCATTTCATTACTATCCTTTTCCCAGCTGAAGTTTTCACACTTAGAATCTCCAAATATAAGTATCTATGGTTTGAATTTGTAATTTGTATTTCTTTTTACATGGTAATCATAGTATAGGTAAAAGAGATCTTAGAAGGGCTGGAGCTGTGCCTGAACTGTGTAGTACTTGCCCAGGTTGAGCAAAGCCCTGGGTTCAATCCCCGTACTGTTTAAAAAAAGACCTTAGAAATCTCCAAGCCTATGATCTGTACTAGTCTTCATTCTGTGAGTAGCAACACCAGGTGTCTAAGAATGTACTCACTTCCTATCTCTACATGCCATATGCAAATAAAATCTGTAACTAGTTGTACAAACTTTGTAGTATCTCTTCTATAGCTGTTCACCCTAGAATCAGTTAACAACAATCATATATATAATGTATATGAGAGGTTTTTTTTCTTAGAAGTGGATTTTTCCATCTATCAAACTGATAAACTGAATCCGCTGCTGAATTCAGTTTGTAGACATTCTTGTCAGAGTTTTGCCATCTGTGTATGAGAAATTTAGAAACATGTGAAACTATCATTGGACTTCCAGCAGCAAGCTCAGATGCTGCAGGTGTTTATGACAAGGGGTTTGGTGTGCCTTTCATCTCATTTTGTCACTGAACCAAAGTGTATCCTGTCCCTGTGCCTTGTAAAGTTAAAGTGAATTCAACTATTAAATATTTTAATTATTCAAGACTTCCATTATTCCTCATTGTTCTTACTAAGCTGAAGTTTTATACTAAATGATCTCTGTCATCGTGATCCCTTACCTAATTCTAGCTTTTCTAGTTTCAGTTCATCTTTTATTTTAGAAAAATACACACAACACTTAACTCTCTAAGATACCCATATATCTAGGCATTATAATAGTAGGGAAACAGATGATAGATGGTCTTTATGTCAGAGGAACCAAGGGATCACCAGCTGTGGAGCTTAATTCTTATTTTACAAATCAGCTCAGAACTGATTTTACAAATCATTCAAGAAGCTATTTTTAAAAAGCTATAAAGTTACTTGATTTGTGTTCAAGAATTTCTATACCAAATGACATAATTAAAATATTTCCAGTTTTCCTTTTCTTCCTAAAATCTTCTTACCCCATGCTAGTTTACTAGACACTGAAGTTTGGTCATGCCTGTACCATTTCTAAGCCATGTAGTCTTAGGGAGGAATAGAGCATACATGCATGGATGGGCATTAGAGGCTGTGTAGTCTGCCAGAAAAATTCCCCTAGGTATCCTCTCAGGGCCAGAAGCAGAGAACTGTACTTCTATTTCTCTATAGCGCTCAAGAATGTATTTTGGTCCCTTCAAGCAATCAACTTTCATTTAATAAGCCTGTACTTTGGAACATTCTCTAAAGATAAAAGATTGATTGAGAACAAAGGGTGCCCCCCATGTGTGGTTTACAGTCTAATCTTTTTGTAATGTACCAGACAAAACTCTTCATTCTCCTCTGTGTCTTGAACAGTATGATTTGGTGAGAGTGGGGGAGCATTTGTTTTAACATTCCCAGAAATAGAAGAGAAATACATTTTTAAGAAAACTAGTAAAGCTGTTAAAAAAAAAAAAAAACCTTTAAAGCCTCATAGAGAAAGTTTTTTGTACAAGAAGGCCTAAATAACTTGAAAAAGGCCGGGGATATAGCTCAGCTGCACAAGTGCCTGCCTGTAAAGCACAAGGTCCTGAGTTTGATCTCCGGTACCAAAAAAAAAAAAAAAAACTTGAAAAAGTGACCAAAGTGCACGACTGCATAACAGGATCTACTGCTGCTTGTCTGAGTGACTTTGGATAGATACATCACTTTAACTTCTCCATTTCCATTATCTCTGTGAAGGGGAAAGATTGATGTGCTCTACCACAATGATGCAGATCATAACAAATGAGTACAAAATGTTTTTGAAACATAATATTGTAATCATAACATTTCAACTCAGGTTGCTTACAGATGATGACTCTGTTTTTAAAAATAGGTATCTGGACCTTCGTCGCTTTGGATCTGTGCCACATGGAGGTTTTGGGATGGGATTTGAGCGCTACCTGCAGTGCATCTTGGGAGTTGACAATATCAAAGATGTTATCCCCTTTCCAAGATTTACTCATTCGTGTGTTTTATAACTGACAATTTGGTTAATGAATAGTGCCCTGGGACAGAAGCACTATACATGTATATGCCTTTAAAACTGCTTTTTTGAATTTTAGAAATGTGGACTTCAGCACATAATTACTCCTCCATAAGATACAAGGTATGGAAAGTAAAAGTGATCGCACTTTTCTTATAAAGCCAAGGGCATTGCATGGAAAAATGATCTCCCTCTGGAAGAGATACTTACAGCAAGTGGACTTTCAGATCTGTTACTTCAGTTAAGAAAAAAGGAAGTAACCAAGCGTATTTCCCAGCTCCTGGGGGACTGAGGCAACATCACTTGAGCCCTGGAGTTCCAGGCCAGCCTGAGCAACATAGCAACACCCATCTGAAAAAAGAAGAAAAGAAGAAATTGAACTAGATAAATGGTCTCCAAAGTCTCTTCAAACTCCAAGCAAGATGAAACAGTATATTTTACTTTGTCTTTATTTGGTAGACACTTGCTTCTGTAACTTTTGAGAATCAGTAGGTAAAGATGAAATATTGTTACATTTTTTTCTCCCTTGCTACTTAACCTGTGATTAAATGCCTATTTTATTCTCAGTGCTTTATTAAACTTAACAGAAGAAAATACTCTTTTTTAGGGTCTTAGTTAATTAAGCTGCTATTGTGAACTAAAGTCATCTTTCCTTGGTCTCAGTGAAAAAAACAATAACATAATAACTGTTGATCTTTAATTATAAAAGTTGATAAGGTCTGACTCAAAATTTAAGTGTTAGAGACTTGGCAGGTAAATATCCTTTACATTGTTTCCATTGTTTCGGGGATTGTGTTATGTCTTTTTTTTTTTAATATGGACTTCATTGAGTTGATATTTTGATAATCTGCAACCTAGATAATTTATACTACTAAAATTTTAATAAACTTGAAATGAGAAAAAAAAGTTAATGAGGTATTGCATTATTTAAAGTCTATAATCATTGTTCTACGTATTTTATACTAGATATTTGTAACTTCTCTAATAGTTAATAGAATAAAATTTAAAAATAGATCCGTATGAAAGAATTTTTTTTGTTGAGGCAGGGTTTTACTGTGTAATTCAGACTGGCTTTGAATTTACTATGTAGCCCAGGCTGACCTCAAACTCACAGTGACCCTATAACCTCAGCTTCCCAAGTGCTGAGATTACAGGCACGCACCAGCACAACTGGTTGAAAAAAAGTTGTTTTGAAAATTTTCTTCATCCTTTCTCAGTATAATTGGGGAGAAAGATATCTTTAATCCAAGATAGAAATGGCAATATGGCTAAACCTAAAGAATTGATAATTCTGGAGTCCAAAAGTGCCGTGGCCTACTAGAATGAGATTCAGGAGTTCAAGTCAACCTGACAGTTCTGGTGTTTTAGACAGTCTCCTTACTCTCTATGAGCTCAAGTGTCATTTTCTTCCCAGAGTTCATACAGTAATTACATGAATGTGTGTGTGTGTGTGTGTGTGTGTGTGTAAAATAACTGATGCTGGGACCAGGCACAGTGATGCATGCTTCTAATCCCAGATACTCAGGAGACTGAGATGGGAGGATCACAAATTCGAGACCAACCTGGACACCTTAAAGAGACCCCATTTCAAAATAAAAATTATACAAGGATTGGAGATATGGCTTAGTTGTAGGACACCTGTCTAGCATATTAGTGAACTTTCCCATTGCTGCATACAGTATCCAACACCCATATCTTAAAGAAAGAGAGGTTTGATTTGGCTTATGATTTCATTGCATCATCAGCTGGCCCCAAGGAAGAAAGATCATGGGGAAAGGGAAGCAAAGATGCTTAGTTCATGGTGGCCTCAAGGCAAAGCAGGGAAACAGTGCAGAGGGGAAGGGGTGAAGGACCAGATGAAGACCCCTCAGCCACACCTCCATGACTCACCTAGACACACCTAGAGGTATTCACAAAACTTGAGGGCAGATCCCAAAGCCAGTGAAGTTGAAACTGCATCCTAACTATGAAACGTAGCATGCACAAGGCCCTGAATTCAAAGCCCAGTACCAGAGAAGGGAAAAAGTGCTTAGGTTATTTTTTGATGAGTATGAACATACTCCTGTGCTTAGCATAATTGAAAATCAAACAGCTAAAAAGAAGTAAACTTCAGAACCTTATGGTTGGAAGACATCTGAGTGATTGTCAGGGTTGACTTTTTTTTTCCTTGATGCATTTTTTTTTTTCTTAGTCCATGTTTGCCATACGTAGTGATCACATTCATTGTGAGGAGTTGGTGCACACTACATATCACACCTTAATCCACTTCTTAGCTCCTTCCCCTCTCTTCCCTCCCAGCTGCATTTTTCCCTACCCTCCCTCCAGTTCTTTTTTTCTATTGTCTTTTATTTTACTCTTAATTTATATTTTGAGGTTCTCAAAACTTGTGTGTTTATTTCACTTACCATTCAAGGCCTCAAAGTTCATCCATTTTCCTACAAATGACACAGGCTTATACTTTACGGCAGAGTACTCCATTCTGTGTAAATAACCACATTTTCTTTATGTGTTTATATGTTGGTAGACATAGAGGGTGCTTCCAAGATTAACCTGTTGTGAATTGTGGCCTATTGTGAATGCTGTAAACATGAATGTGTCACTGTAATCTTTTCTTTCAGGAAGGTACCTAGAAGAGAAATAGCTGGGTCAAATGACATTTCTAGGTTCAGTTTTTTGAGGAATCTCCATACTGATTTCCATAGCAGTTGTATTAGTTTACAATAAACCAATACAACCATCAACAATGAAGTAGAGTTCCATTTTCCCCAAAGCCTCATCAGCATTATTGTTACCTGATTTCTTGACAGTTACAATTTTTCTTCAGTAAGATAGAGTCTATGTTGTTTTAATTTGCATTTCTCAAAAGCCAGCAAATTTTTTTGAGTTCTTTGTATATTATAGGTACTAGTTTTCCATCCAATGAATAGCTGTCAAAATTCTTGTTCTGTAGTCTGTCTCTTCACTCTGTTTGTTGTTTCTTTTGCTTTGTGGAAACTTTTTAATTTGATATGATCCATTTGTTAGTTCTTGGTGTTATTTCTTGTACAGTTGGAATTCTGTTCAGAAAGTCCTCACACTCCTCTTCAAGAGTTGTACATATTTTATCTCCCAGCAGATAAAGTATTTCTGTTTTAATATTTAGGTTTTTGGTCTATTTTAATTTTACGTTAGTACATGGTGAGAGTCGAAATTCAATTTATATGGATAGCCAGTTTTCCCAGCACTACTTTCAAGGAGGGTATCTCTCCTTCAGTGTAAGTTTTTGTCTTTTTTGTCAAAGATCAGGTAGCTAAATGTGCTTGAAGTTGTTTCTGCATCTTGTATTTTCTTCCACTGATCCATATGTCTGCTTTTTTCCCAATACCATGCTGATTGTTTGTTTGTTTCTTTGTTTGTTTATTGTACCCACTGTAACTTTGTGGTATAATTTGAAGTCCAGAATTATGAGTCCTGCCTTTTTCTTGTTGCCCGGGTTTATTTTTCATATTCTGGGTCTCTTCTGGTTCCATATGAAATTTAATACTGTTTTCTCTAGTTCTGTGAAGAATGATGTTGGTATTTTGATTGGAATTGTATTAAATCTGTATATCAGTTTTGGAAGTATGAACATTTTGACTATATTTATTCTGCCTATCCAGGAATGGGATATTTTCCCATTTTCTGATATTCTCTTCAGTTTACTTTTTCATAGTATTGTAGTTTTCACTGTAGCGGTCTTTCACTTCTTGGTTAGGTTAATTCCTAGATATTTAATTTTTCTTACAGCTATTGTAAATGGTACTTTCTTCCTAATTTCTTCATGAAGTTATTGTTGGTATATAGGAATGCTATTAGTTTTTTGTGGGTCAGTTTTCCATCTAGTTACCTACTGAATTTCGTTACTAGGTCTAGGAGTCTTTGCTTGGATTTTGGGGTCTTCCATGTAGAGGATCAAGTCCTCTGCAAATAATGATAATTTTACTTCTTTCCCATACATATCCCTTTTATTTCTTTCTCTTCTCTGGTTGGTCTGGCTAATGTTTCAAGAAATATATTGAACAGTAGTAGTGGTAGCAGACATCCTTGTCTTGCACCTGATTTTAAAGGGAAAGCTTTTAGTTCTCCCCATATAATAAGTTTTTTGTCATGGCCAATTGGAGTTCTGTATGCCTCACTTAATTGTACGTCAAATTCTTTTTCTCTACTGGGGAAATTTTCTGCCATGATGTCTGTGAACAGATTTTTTATATCATTTGTGCTATCTCCTGCTTTTTCCTTGACTCCAGTTAATCTTAAGTTATTCTTCTTTGCATCATCCTGCAACTATTGTATTGATTTCTTGTGGTCTCTTGCTATTTTTAAGAAATCTTTTTGTGATCACTAGCTGCAAGCCTGTCTTCCATAGCTGAGATCTTGTCGTCACATTGGCTTAATCTGCTGTGAGTAATTTCATTAGAATTTTTATTCTCCTGGATATCTGCTTGAATCTGCCTTGTGGATTCCATTTTTTTCCTATGTTGAGCATTCATGGCTTCCTTAGTTTTAAGCACATCTATTTTTTTTTTTTTTTGTCTGTATCTTGCTCTAGAGTCACTAAGCATGGTTTTCATTGTGGACGTCATCTCTGCAGTTGTCTGAGAGATTAGTTCTGATTTGATTTTTTTCTAGAGCCTCATTCAATTGCTTTGTTACCACTTCAGAGAGGCCAGGTGGGTGGCTTTCAGATTGTCTCACCTCATTGCCCCCTGGGTTTGCCTTTGGTGATGTTTGGGGTTGTACCTTGTTTAAGTGTCTCCTCATTTTCTTTTTTTTTTACTTTAATTCCTGAGGTGTTTGTAACAGCTGTTTACAACAATTATGTCACTTTTGGCTATAGTGGTACCAATATCAATAACATAAAACACAGCCTAGAAAATGACAAACTAAACATTAATTTGCCACCTTTAACTGTATGAACTAGATTTGTGGTTAAATGATAAAATCTAAAACAAACCAGAAAATTGTGTGCAGTATACAAGTCCCTAGTATGACAATTTTGCCCACCAGGGTTAAAATTTAAAATGAGTTAGAGAGAAAATAAAGAAATGGAAGAAGAGGAAGAGATTAGAAGGCTGAAAGACAAAGAGGGATCACGCTAACTTGGGGAAACTGGTGCAGGGGATTGGGGGGAGGAAAAAGATAAAAACAGGAACTGAACAGAACCACAACCACAAAGAGGCTAGACACCACATTCACACTTGTATAAATATAAGTTCAAACAATAAAGGAAAAAGAAAAAGAAAACAAAAAGCCAAACTACAACAACAAAAAAGAGAGAGGAAAACAAAACAAAACAAAATACAAAAATAGTCCACTTCCAGGTTTGTCTCTGCTGTCACTGGTAAACAGTGTATGCAGACAACGTTCTAGTCAGTGTTGTTTTATCCCAGAAAGCCAGCCAGCCTGCACCCTCTGGCAGCTTGCAGCACCTGAGCCCAGCTGGGAGCCACCGATAGAGCCAGCAGACACTCTGAGTTCTGAGCTCTATGGGTCTCTCTCCAAGATGGTTCCCAACCAATTGCTGTCTCTCATGGGATGGTTGAACCCTCGGCACTCACCGGCAGCTAGTGTAGTCCTTCATGGCCGCTAGTACAGTCTTTCACATCCGCTGTTCCCCTCCACTGCTGAATCTCTCTGTAGAGGCCTTTGTGGTCACCAGCACTTGCCATGTGTCATTCGGTTTAGACCATTCCTGTCCTCTCATGCAGTTTCCCATATTGGGGAGACAGCACCATTGGTTACCTCCTTCTTCATTGAAGTTTCTCTCTTCACTCTCTCCATGTGCTTCAATTCGTGCCTCAGTTCCTTCCTGGATCCAGGGGTATTCACCTCCCTCCTTCTTCACCACATGGCTATACTACAGCATTTGGATGGCAGCACTTAGAGAG